AGTAGCTGGAATTACAGGTGCGTGCTACCACGCCCGGATAGTTTTTGATTTACAGTAGAGATGAGGTCTTGCCAAGTTGCCCAGGCGGGTCTGGAACCCGCGGGCTCAGGCAATCCACTCACCTCAGCCTCCCAAGGTGCGGGATTACAGGCTGAACCACGAGCCCCGCGGTCCCCTTTCTTGTGGGTTGGAGAGCCACAGAGGGTGGTAGAGAGAGGCTGAGGAGAGCTGTAGTTTCTGAAGGCAATCTAGGGGTGGTGATAAGTGAGGTGGACCGGAGGGAGATCTGCTCCCCAGCCTGTGTCACCCATTCTAATCCCACTGTTCCCTCTGGCAGACAGACAGACCTTGGTCGAGTCATTTTTTCTGGGAGCCTCCACTGTCTCACCTGTGAGCAGAGGTGATAATCCCTGACACCTTCCAGGGTGGCAGTGCCATCCTGCACTCAGAGCGAGATAGATGCATGGTGAATCAGAGGGCCTGTAGTTTCCCTGTTTCCTGATGAGTAAACAGCTCAGGCCTCGGACCCTCTAGCTTCTGTTTCCTGAGCCACAGAGAACACAAGGCCGGCCCCTCACCCCTGGCCCCTTCCCGCCGGGCCTCTGGTGCACTCCAGCACGCTTGCAGGCTTCCTGTTCCTCCATCCGGCAGGCATGCCTGGCGTGCCGAGGGCCTGGCTTGGCCGAGTAGAGGAGGGGCTCTTTGTTCACATGTGCAAGCGGGTATGTGTGTGTGTCGAGTGGCGTGTGGAGCACGGCCTCCTCGGCTGCTGGGGTGGCTCTCCACATGGGGAGGGAAGGGAATGGCCTTTGGACTGGGATCTCACCGCTGAGGGGTGCAGACTAAGTGATCTGCCTCCGTGGCAAAGATAGGTTAGGAAAGGCACAGAGAAACAGACACAGTGACAGGGAGAGACAGAAAGACAAGAGACAAGGCAAGACAACCTTGGCACCAAGTTGAGATGCATGCTTGGCGAGTGGATCATGGCTGGAGTTCAGATTTCCCTCTCTTTTTGAAGGTGGATGCCTTTGTGCAGTGAATGTACCGCACAACCATACATGGCAGGCTTGATGCAGAAAAGGAAGGAGAGAGGCAGAAAGAGAACAAGAAATTGATGGAAGAAGAAGCAGAAGGTCTGGGTGCGGCAGCTCACGCCTATAATCCCAGCACTTTGGGAGGCTGAGGTGAGAGGATTGTCTGAGCCCACCGGTTCAACACTAACCTGGGCAACTTGGTGAGACCTCATCTCTACAATAAGCCAAAAAATTAGCTGGGCGTGGTGGCACGTGCCTGTAATTCCAGCTACTTGGAAGGCTGAGGTGGAAGGATCTCCTGAACCCAGCAGGTCGAGGCTGCAGTGGCCATGAGCATGCCACTGCACTCCAGCCTGGACAACAGAGTGAGACTTCAACTAAAAAAAAAAAAAAAAAGAAAAAAAAAGAAGGAACAAAGAGCAGATAGCAAGAGTTTTTGATGAAGCACAAAAGTCAAAAAGGAAGAGGCAGAAAAAGCCTGGAGGAGCTTGGGAGGCTCTGTTTGTACGTGAACACACACTCACCGAGCAGGGTCTCATCGAGGCTGTGTTCCAGGGCGGTCACTGGAACCCAGTTCCAACCCTTGCTAGACCCTGAAAGATGTGTGCGTGGGGTTGTATTCTTGCATTCTACAGATGGAGGATCAGAGGGCTTAAGTGACATAACTGAGGCCACACAGCCTGTAAGTGACAGAGATAGGAGGTCTGGAACCTTTGGACTCTACAGTAGGAAGTGGGGAGAAACAGAAGGGGGAGGACAGTGGGACCATGTAAGTAGCTGCAGCTGGCGGTCGTTCGGGTGAGGCTGGGAAGCAGAGCCTGACCTCCGCCTCATAGCCTCCTCTGGCTGAAGATGCACCTGGCGGGCGGCCCACCGTTCTGGGGATCAGGTTCTCGGGGAGCCTGGCCCCCTCCCACCCCTACTTCCTTTCCCTTTGTCAGCATTTGCGGCCTCGTTCCCGAATCATCCTGGGGGTTCTTCAGAAAAAAGCAAGAAAGCATTTTTCCTGGAATTGATACTCAAAGAGCACGACAGCACACAGGGGAGGGGGTGGGGCTGCACTGGGCACGGGAAGGGGAGTGGGCCTGAGGATGGCCACGGAGACAACGAGCACCAACTGGGCGTAGCATGCACTGGCTCTGAGCACTCCATTCATATTAACTCACTTAACTCACACCGTGACCCTACAAAGGTGGTCGACTTGGTTTCATAGACAGGGACCCGAGAGCTGGGATTCACACCTTGAGTTGAACTCAGGCAGGGCTGGGGGCTGCAGAGCTCAAGGGAAGTCCCAGGCAATACGACTTCCAGAGAAGCTGGAAGGGCATCAGGCGGTGGGGAAGTCCCTTCTGCTGTCTTGCTTCCATCAGCCCCACTTTCTGCTCTCTACAGAAACGGAAGACCTTCCGTCTACCAGAAACTCTAGCCCCACTGTGCCCTACCCCCACACTCCTCTCCTTCCACCTAGGAGGGGGAAGGGGCCCCCACCAGAGGGATCCAGCGGGGCTTGAGCTTGGAGAAGGGGGGGCAAGCCAGGCTGGGCCCTGTGTGGGCTTTGTGGGGGGGCACTGGGATCTGGGCCTGGCCAGGAGCCCGGCTGATTTGCATCTCGAGGTGGAGGAGAGAGAAGTGTCAGCTCATTCTTGACTGTAAACACATCTTGTTCCCACGCTTCCCTAGTCCTTTCTCCTGTCCAACCCCCTGCCAGCTCCCCGCCCCCATAGCTAAGGCTTAAGAAGAAGATGCAGAGCCCCGGGCTTCCTGTCTGGGCTCAGGAATGGCTGGAATCATGCCTCTGCCGGCAGCCTGGGTTTGGGACCCAGCTCTGACGCTACTGGCTGTGTGGCCCTGGGCAGGTTTCTTACCCTCTCTTGTGCCTGTTTCCTCATCTCTAATGTGGACCCTAACACCTACCATGGTGGATTAGTGCAAGCTCCGGATGAGATGATCTGTGTAACTCACTCAGCACCCTGCGTGTCCCCACACAGTGGACGATGCAGGGGACCACATTGTTATTCTTGTGGGGAGGATCCCTGGACTAGAGGCCTGGAGGATGGTGGCTGAGCAGGGGCTCAGGATGGAGCTTTGTGTGAGGGGAAGTGAGCTTGCAGTGGGGAGTTGGGGTCCGCCTCAGGAGTGCACTGTGGGTCCCAGTGCAGGGAGCCAGGAGTTGTTTGATGAAACCCCTTGAGGGGTCTGTGTAATCACTTGACGCCCAATGCTACTGGACCAGAAGGGGCTAGGGAGTGTGGCCCAGGGCCGCCGTGCTCCTTGGGGACAAAGGCTCAGAAGAGGACAAGCCTGGGAGGCCAGGGCTCCTGGTCTGGCCTGTGTTCCTGCTCAGGGGCTGAGAATGGCCAGGCCAAGCCCTTCCTCTCTCTGCCAGCACCTCCGTCTCCTCCCTATAAGCCACCCACTGGTCTCCCCAGCCCCATCCTGGCCTCCAGCCCCTGCACTGACCAGCTGATGCCTCCTGCGCACTCCAGCCCAACCCAAGGGCCTCTGGGGACAGGGAACCTGCCACCCTCCAGCAAGCTGGCCTCCCAGACAGCCAGAGGGGGATTCGAGTCAGCCCCTCCTCACACCCTCCTCCAAGTCCCTCTCAAAGCCCCCAAGTGAACCATTTCCTCCAGGACTAGGTTGGGAGGAGGTGATGAGGACATTCCCTCTTACTCAGGGCCAGGCCGGGTGGGGCCCATGGGAATGGGAGGAAGAACCTTCTCTGGGCTCAGCAATGGCTTGACTTCAGGGCTCCTCCTCCTTGTGCCCAAATTCAAGTCCTTCCTGTTACAGGTTTTGTCCACCCTCTCTCCCCCCACCCCATGCCACAGGCGCTGGGGACAGATCCAGGGCAGGAGGAAACCTGGGGAGTCCCATGTGGCTCGGGAGACGAGGCTCACCCAGGGAACACGGGTGATGGTCCTAGCTTCAGACAGGCCAAGCTTCAGTCTGAGGATGGGGGTCCAGGCCTGGATGGGGCTGGGGGTCTGGGAGGAGGGACGCATAGGACGACTGAGAGAGAAGACGGGGCGTGTGGAGGGCTCAGGGTCCCACCATGGCCTTGGTTACCGAGCACACTCGAGGGAGGCTGGGGCCTGGCAGAGCGGGTGCTGGAGATGGGCACCGGGCCTGGGAAGATGGCTAGAGCAGGGTGGGGCGGGAGACCTGGGAGAAGGGAAGAGTCTGGGAGCAGGGATGGGTAGGAGCGATGGGTGGCTGGGACAGACTGTGGGGAGCATCGGGAGGACTCTCTCCCCTCAGAGCGGCTGCGGCGTCAGCTCAGGCAACAAGCGCCAGAAAGAGGCTTCTGGCCCTGTCCCCACTCCCCATCTCACCCACTGTGTTCAGGTGGGAGGGAGGACAGAGCCACCCACGATCATGCTCCCTGCTGTCCCCCATCCCAGCCAGGCTCTGTTTCCTGTTTTCAGGCTCCATATCCTGTGCGCCGGGATCCCCAGGACATTCTCTGACCCCCAGGCCCCATCTGGTGAGTTGCTTGGGGACTGAGGACTGGGGAGAGGGAGCACGGAGGGAGCTTGAGGCGAGACTCGTGTTCAGGGGGTGTGCTGGGGGCAGGGTGGCTCTGCTTCACTTGAGGGGGTGGGTGGGTGAACTGTGCAGTGGGAGGTCAGGCGGGTCAGCCATGGAGGAAAGGGTGCAGATTTGGCCTCCGGAGGGTTAAAGGTGGGGGGGGGGACAGAGCAGGCGAGATGGGGTTAATTCAGGGGCCTCAACCTGGAGAGAGGAGGGGCTGCCCTGATTGAGCTGTGGGGACCCTGGGAGTGTGTGGGTGGGGGATGTGGGGTGGGGCCAGGCAGCAGCATTCCAGATATACCCAGGGGGGTGAGGGGCCAGCAACCGCGACCTTTCTCTCTTCTCTGAAAAATTATAAGCAGATGTGGGCGCCTCGGGGAGGCGTAGCACAGGGGCCAGAGCCAGTGTGGGGAACACTGAACAACACAGAACCTGAACGGGCCACCGGGAGGGGGCACTCCAGGAGTTCAGCCTCAGTCATCTGTGGTCTTGACCCTCTGCCCACCCACTGGGTGAGGCCAGGGGTGGGGAAGATGGAGAGGAGCCCATTTCCAGAGGCTGACAGGGCGGTCTGAGGGGGCAGGAGCTTTTCCTTGGATCCAAGGCCAGGCTGGGGCCTCTTAGGCCGTAGCACCTGGAGTTGGGAGCAGCGGTGTGCTGGCAAAGGGTTAACAACCAGCTCTGTTGGGGGATTGGCCTTGGTTATAGTGTTTGCCAGTCCTCTGGTGCAGATACATGCCCCTCCTCCGCCACCCCTGGTTTCAAGCTACTCACGTGACATCACTGAACGTGGAGCTGGAAAGATGCACACAGTTGGCTCTCTGAGCCTGTGTGAGCTGGCTCCCACACTCCACGGCTGGGAAGTGACCTGGCCTCAGCCCCACACCCACCCCGACCCCATATAGCAGGAAGCCCCTGATGGCATTTCATCAGGCAGATTTGGGCTCTGCCTGCATATATCCAGTGACGGGGAGTGCACTACCCGAGGTGGCTGATTCCATTACTGAACTGGTCTGACTGTTGGAAAGTTCTTCCTCTGAGGGAGTCCACATTGGCTTCTCGCCTAACTTCTCCTCACTGGTTCCAGTTTCACACCTCAGTACAAATATCAGAGTGCTCTGGGTGGGGTGTGGGCTGGAGGTTGGGGCTTCAGAAATTAAAGGGCCAGTGGGTCGCTGCCTCTGGAGGTTGTGGTCAGTGTGCGGGTGAATGGCGCTGCAGGGCCCCGGAAATGGTGGGACAGTCTACCAACAGGGTCAGGGTGCAGAGCAGGAGGGGTGGTGTTTGAGCTAGACCTCGAAAGCCAAGAGCGCCCGGTGCAGAATGAGGGGTGAGCAAAGATTCAGGGCGTGGAAGCACACCACCATCCATGAGCAAGATCTAGGAGCTGGAAACCAGGGCCACCGGCCAGAGGACAAGAGGCGGCAGCCACATCCCTTCTGCGTGCCCACTGCTCAGATCTCCACAGACAGGTCCCCAGGCCACTGGCTGCTGTGCCCGCCTGTGCTGCACCCGGGCCTGTTGCAGGCCTTGGCATGTTGCCCCTGCTGCACCCCCTTCTTCTCCTGGCCTTGGGCCTGAGGCTGGCTGCAAGTCTCAGCCCCAACGATCCCAATGCCTGCAGCTTCTGGGAAAGGTGAGAGGGCCCCCACTGCGCCTGGAGGGTACCAAGCCCTGGCTCCCCAGGGTCCGTATGGGGGCTCCTCTTCCTGGGTCCTTCCCGTGCCTCTCCCCTCCCTTCTGCTTCTGTTTCTTCTCTCTCTGCTTCCCCCTGTGGGCTGCCTATGACCCCGCCCCCTTGTCTCAGTCTCTCTCCTGCCTTCAACCTTGGCCTTTCTCTATCCCCGTCCCTTGGTCCGAGGGGGGCTGGTGGCACAATGCAGCACGGGTGGGAGCTGTTCACTGTGGAACAGGCAGAGAGGCAGGCCCTCGGGGAGCAAAGGGGACAGGGCTGGAAACAAGACCCTGGGCAAATTTAGCCGGAATACTTCAGCCTCTTCCATCAGCAGCACAGATGCCAGTTTGTGCTGGTGTTCCTGGATGGGGCAGGGAGGAGGAGACGGGAGGCTCTGGCCCAATAGAGTGGGCAGGTGCTCTGATGGGGGTGTTGCAGGAACATGTGAATTCTGGGAGAAGTCTCCCAGACTCGAGAGGTGAGGCAGGATGGGGATCCCATCCTAGGCTTGGGGGAAGCAAGCCCAAAAGTTGGCCAAGCCCTCATGCCCCTGCTTGCCGCAGTGCCTGGTGCCAGCTCAGGCCTCTCCCTGCCCTCAGCCCTTGACCCTGTCCCTGTCTTGCAGCTTCACCACTACCACCAAGGAGTCCCATTCCCGGCCCTTCAGCCTGCTCCCCTCAGAGCCCTGCGAGCGGCCCTGGGAGGGCCCCCACACCTGTCCCCAGCCCACGTGAGTGTCTCCCCACACCATGGGCAGGTAGGCTGCCCGAGTCGCGGCCTCAGCCTGGCCCCTGGCCCTCACCCCCATTCCCGAGTTCTTAGAGCCTTGGAGGAGACGTCTGGTCTCAAGGGACTCGTTCCTGGCATGGTGTGCTTCTGTGTGGCTTCTGTGGGGTGCGTGTGAATGCGTGCACGTGTTTGGGGTGTGCACACATGGCGTGTTATGTGCGTGTTTGTGGTTGGGTGGGGAATAGAAGGAAATGTTCGTCCAGTCAGGCCAAACTCAGTGCCACACTGTCGTGAGGGCAGATAGCCGGGGGCACTGAGGGCCACCTTCTGGGCCTCCCAGGGTCGTCTACCGGACCGTGTACCGTCAGGTGGTGAAGACAGACCACCGTCGGCGCCTGCAGTGCTGCCAGGGCTTTTACGAGAGCAATGGCATCTGCGTCCGTGAGTCCAGCGTTGGGCCAGGCATGGGGCAGTGGGCATGGCACGGGGAGGCTCAGCCCATGGGGGGGAAAACTGAGTCCTTCCCTGCCCAGAGTGGGGCCACATATCTGCCTTTTTGGGTTTTCTCCCCCTGTCCCCCTCCCCTGTGCTTTGTCTCCAGGGTCTGGTCAGCACCTTCCACCTCATGACCCTGTCTCCAGCTGGCTCCACATCTCTCCCATCCCCTCTCTCCATGTCTCTGAGCAGTCTCTGTCTCTGCATCTCCATCTGCCCTAGAGCTCTCGTTCTGTCTCTGGGCTGTCTCTGTGTCTCTTGTGGACTTGTGTCTGGGTCTGTCTCTGTCTTCTGTCCCTGTCACTGTCTGTCTCTGACTTGTCACTGTCCAGTCTTTCCTGTCCACGGCCACCTCCAGCACCTGGTGGCCCCGAGACGGGAGCCTGCCCTCTTCCCTCTCCTCGCCCCTCAGCCTTGGCCTGTCACTAGCCCCTGCGGACACTCCTTTCTGGCCTGACCCAACCCCCAGGGTTCACCCCATCCTCTCGCTGGATAGCATCCATGTCCAGCCCCCACCTGAGGCTCTCCCCCCTGCCATTTTCCAAACAAGGTGCTTAGAGGATTTCACAAAAAGGGGCCAGGTGGTGGCTCACACCTGTAATCCCAACACTTTGGGAGGCCGAGGAGGGAGGATTGATTGAGGCCAAGAGTTTGAGACCAGCCTGTGCAACATAGCAAGATCCTGTCTCTAAGAGGAAAATATTTTTTTAAATACAGAATTTCACAAAAGGGGGCCGGGGAGCCCAGAACCTTGGCATCTTGTCAAGTTCTGACCCTACGTTGCTGTCCTCAGTCTTTATCTTAGAGGCAGGATGGGTGCTTGGAGGACTTCAAGTCCCTGGTGTGGGAAGAAGACGGGGTTAAGCTTCACAGACAAAAGAGGGTGGGGGGGCAAGCATGGATTCACCTTCTCACTCATCTCCACCTCTGCCCCAGCGCTCTGTGCCCAGGAGTGTGTCCATGGCCGCTGCGTGGCACCCAGTCAGTGCCAGTGTGTGCCTGGCTGGCGGGGTGAAGACTGCTCCAGTGGTGAGTGGCTGCTGACTCCAGGGAGGGGCCTCTGGTGCCTTCAGGGCCAGAGGGCCCCCACCCCCTGCCGGGGTACAGGTGCTCAGGGCCCAGGGCAGTTGCCCACAGAGCCCCCCGGCAGCCAGCTGCCTTTTCTGGAGATGTGGAAAGGGAGTGGGTGTGGAGGGCTGGGAGACAGAAGCAGGTACTGGCTGCAGGCTGGGGAGGCCCTCGACCCCAGTGACCCCCTTCCACCCTGCTTATCCCACAGAGTGTGCCCCGGGAGTGTGGGGGCCGCAGTGTGACAAGCCCTGCAGCTGCGGCAACAACAGCTCCTGTGATCCCAAGAGTGGGGTCTGTTCTTGCTCCTCTGGCCGGCAGCCCCCGAATTGCCTTCAGCCCTGTGCCCCCGGCCACTATGGTCCTGCTTGCCAATTCAGCTGCCAGTGCCATGGGGCGCCCTGTGATCCCCAGACGGGAGCCTGCTTCTGCCCCCCAGAGAGAACCGGGCCCAGGTGCGTCATGGGGGAAACAGCACTTTAGGGAGGTTGCAGACGCAGGGCCACACAGACACAGGGGAAACGCGGTGACTCAGGCAGGGCCCCACGTGTGGGGATGGGGTCAGGGCCAAGATCCTTGTCTCAGCTCTGCTGCTCCCTAGCTGAGGGACCTTGAGCGAATCACTGACTTTGTGGGCTTTTTTTTCTAACTGTAAAATGGGGACAGTGTTGTCTACTTAGGAGGGATGCTGTGAAGACAACATGAGATAGTGTGTGTGTGAATGCATGTTGTAGACTGAGGCAGAGACAAGGGCCCAGAGAACCTAGTTGCAGGGCAGGGTGCAGGGAGAGCCGGAGGGTCATAGGAGGGAGACGGGGCACTACTAGGAAAGGAGGATTGAGCTCTTCGGAGGACCGTCTGGAGCTGAGTCCTCCAGGACAGAACCACAACAGGCACAGGTGTTGTTCCCTCAGAGGGAACAGCCTGAGCATAGGCGAGCGGGCAGAGCGCAGGGTGCCTGCGAAACAGACATGCCACCCGAGGCTCTTTGCTGCCCCTGCTGGTGCTGAGGTGTCCCTGACATTTCCAGTCCTGGAAGCCTTTGCTTTCTGACTCCTGTGGTCCCCAGCAGAAGGGCAGGTGTGAGTCACCAAGTCCTAGGATCAGGGACCAGCCCTGGGAGGCAAGGGGGGAGGCAGGTCTTGCTTGTTTACACGCTGACCTCACCACTCTGTCCTGCAGCTGTGATGTGTCCTGTCCCCAGGGCACTGCCGGCTTCTGCCCCAGCACCTATCCTTGCCAAAATGGAGGTGTGTTCCAGGTGCCCCAGGGCTCCTGCAGCTGCCCCCCTGGCTGGATGGTATGAAGGGTGGGGCCTGTGGGCATGGAGGGGAGTCTGGGGAGGATTCTGAGGTTGGTTCCTACCGGCGCTCCCAGGAGAGTTCTGTGGGTATGGAGGTGGCAGGGGCCCTGTGGCCACGGGGCTGGGTGCCTGGGGCTCTGGCGACCTCTTACCTCCACAGGGCACCATCTGCTCCCTGCCCTGCCCAGAGGGCTTCCATGGACCCAGTTGCTCCCAGGAATGTCTCTGCCACAACGGCGGCCTCTGCGACCGCTTCACTGGGCAGTGCCGCTGCGCTCCGGGCTACACCGGGGATCGGTGAGGGGCGGCGGCGCGGGCGGGCGCGGCAGGAGGCGGCCGGAGGGGTCGCCGCCAGACTCACTCAGCGGGGCGCCCAGGTGTCGCGAGGAGTGCCCGGTGGGCCGCTTCGGGCAGGACTGCGCCGAGACGTGCGACTGTGACCCTGGCGCCCGCTGCTTCCCGGCCAACGGCGCGTGTCTGTGCGAACACGGCTTCACCGGCGACCGCTGCACCGAGCGCCTCTGCCCCGACGGCCTCTACGGCCTCAGCTGCCAGGCGTCCTGCTCCTGCGACCCAGAGCACAGCCTCAGGTGGGGCGCGGGACACGTGGTCTCGGGTTCAGGAGGTCGATGGGAGGGGTCTTCTGGGCTGAGGCCGAGAGCGCCGGGGGCGTCTCCAAGGGCGGGACGGTGCTACAGAAGGGAGAGGGGAGGGGCCTCGGGGATCGGCGAGGGCCTGGGGCACCCGTATGCGCCCCAACCTCACTTCTGGAATACGCGGGCCCCCCGACGGCCCCTTTGCTCCTGCGATGGCCGGTTCCCACCAGTGGCGGTGGGGGAGACCGGCCTGCGGGGCCCCAGCTAAGGCCGCGCGGCACCCGCCTCCGCCCCCAGCTGCCACCCGATGAACGGGGAGTGCTCGTGCCGGCCGGGCTGGGCCGGCCTCCACTGCAACGAGAGCTGCCCGCGGGACACGCACGGCCCGGGGTGCCAGGAGCACTGTCTCTGCCTGCACGGCGGCGTCTGCCAGGCGGACAGCGGCCTCTGCCGGTGCGCGCCGGGCTACACGGTGAGGCGCGCCGGCGGCGAGGACGGGGCGGGTGCGGGGCTAGGCGAGTGGGGCGGACACCGGCCGGCCCGCCCCGCTCACCTGCCCACCTGTCCACCTTCAGGGCCCTCACTGCGCCAGTCTCTGTCCCCCCGACACTTACGGGGTCAATTGTTCTGCACGCTGCTCGTGCGAAAATGCCATCGCCTGCTCCCCGGTCGACGGCACGTGCGTCTGCAAGGAAGGTAACGGGGTGGAGTCTCCCAGGCGACTTGGGGGCGGGGCCGCGCGAAGAAGGACTGACCGGAGGGTAGGAGCGGGCCAAGGGCAAGGGAGAGGCTACAGGGCAAGGGCGGAGCTTACTGGGCAGCCGCTGGACGGTGGGCAAGTATCCAGGCTACTTCTGCACTGGAATATCCACTTTGCTTGTCTTCAACCACAAAATTCCTACTTGCTCCTAAAGGCCCAGGCCGGAAGTCATCTCCTTGGTGAATGTGCCTCACCCTCAGTGGTACAGAAACACAATGGCAGCGCCTGGAAGGGCCTCTGAGATCCATCCGGGTGGCACGTCAGCAGCCTTTAGCTGAATTCTGATCCAGCTGTGTTTTGTTTGGCCAGCTCTCACTGAAATTTAACAAACTCCCAGTTCCCACTCCTCCCTCTTGCCTTACGCATGATCTGGATAACTCATTTAGTTACCTGAGGGGGCCTATGTAAGCATGTGGGTTTGCTGCCAACCCCTTTCATTTTGCAGAAGAGGCAACCAAGACCCAGAACAGGATGGTGCATTACCGGCAGGCCTTTAGCCTTCTGCTTAAAGTCTTTTTTTTTTTTGAGTTGGGGTTTCACTCTTGCCCAGGCTGAGGTGCAGTGGTACGATCACAGCAGCATCAGCCTCCTGGGCTCAGGTGATCCTTCTGTCTCAGCCTCCTAAGTAGCTGGGACTACAGGTGCACTTGTAGAGACAAGGTATGTTTCCTAGGCTGGTCTCAAAGTTCTGGGCTCAGGTGGTCCTCCCACCTCAGCCTCCCACAGTGCTGGGATTACAGGTGTAAGCCACCATGCCCGGCCACCTTCTGCTCAATACCCAATAGCTTGCACGGTGCCATGGGCACCCCCAGTCCCACGATGGCATAGAACCTGGCACAGCCAACACCCAGTGTGTGCTTACTCAGGAGAGGAGCTGAGTCCCCACGCCAACCTATGAGTCCTCTACTTCAGGTTGGCAGCGTGGCAACTGCTCTGTGCCCTGTCCACCTGGAACCTGGGGCTTCAGCTGCAATGCCAGCTGCCAGTGCGTCCACGAGGCAGTCTGTAGCCCCCAAACCGGAGCCTGTACCTGCACCCCTGGGTGGCGCGGGGCCTACTGCCAGCTGCCCTGCCTGGTGAGTACTCGATAGCCTATCCGTCCGAGGGTCGGGAGGGCAGGGCGTCCCCCAGTTGACTGGCCTGCCCTCCTTTCCACTCCTCCAAGAAGGGGCAGTTTGGTGAAGGTTGTGCCAGTCACTGTGACTGTGACCACGCTGATGGCTGTGACCCTGTTCATGGACTCTGCCGGTGCCAGGCTGGCTGGATGGGTGAGCATCCTAGGGCCCAGGCCTATGTGGAGCTGGGGGGGTGAGTCTCATGGGAAGTGTGTCCAGAAGAGCTCCCATGGAGCAGGAAGGGAACCGGGCCAGGCACGCCCTCTTGCTGTCTCCCACAGGCACCCGCTGCCACCTGCCCTGCCCTGAGGGCTTCTGGGGAGTCAACTGCAGCAACACCTGCACCTGCAAGAACGGGGGCACCTGCCTTCCTGAGAATGGCAACTGTGTGTGTGCACCCGGGTTCCGAGGCCCCTCCTGCCAGAGATGTGAGGCTCCCTACAGCCCCCATACCTGCCAGCAGTAGGGTGCAGTGTGATGCCAGAAGCCCTTGCTCCACCTCCCTTGGGCTCCTCCTCCAACCCTAATCTCCAGGCGAGTGGGAGGGAGGGAGGCAGCTGGAGGGTCGGCGGCTGGTTGAGGGTTAGCCCCTGTCTCCAGTCATTATGCACCCCTCTCCCCCAGCCTGTCAGCCTGGCCGCTATGGCAAACGCTGCGTGCCCTGCAAGTGCACTAACCACTCTTCTTGCCACCCCTCGGACGGGACCTGCTACTGCCTGCCTGGCTGGACGGGCCCTAACTGTTCCCAACGTATGTGGTGGTGGGTGTGTGTGAGCGCATACGTGCACTAAGAGGGCAGGCAGAAGACGGGAGGCCTCTGTTCCCTGGCCCCTGGGTAGAAAAGCCTCAGACCCACCTTGACTCAGTACCCTATCTAACCAATATAAACACATAGTAAACACACATTGAAACATAGGCTGGGTGTGGTGACTGACACCTGTAATCCCAGCATTTTGGGAGGCTGAGGCGGGAGGATCGCTTGAACCCTAGGGTTCGAGACTAGCCAAGGCAACATAGTGAGGCCCTGTCTATACACAAAATTTAAAAAATTAGGCTTGGTGGCATGCACCTGTAATCCTAGCTATTTGGGAGGCTGAGGCGGAAGGATCATCTGAGCCTAGGAGGTCGAGGCTGTAATGAGCCGTGATTGATTGTGCTCCTGCATCCCAACTTGGGTAACAGAGATCCCAAATTTTAAAAAGAAACCAATAAAGCCCCACATATTTACTGTGTATCACCTACGCAATGGCTCCTGTTCTAGGTGCTGAAGATGGAGCAATGAACAGGTCAGGGCAAAAAACAGTTCCTGCCCTTCTGCCTGGGCACTCTGGCTTTCTTCGGGAGTGAGGGAAATCACCAGCTCGGTTTGGGACATGTTCTTTTTTTTTTAAAAAATTTCCATTTATTTTTAATTATATAGAATTAACTAATTCTCTATTTATTTCCAAAAAAGCCAAGTAAGACACATCTCCTGTTTTTGTTTTTGTTTGAGTCAGGGTCTCACTCTGTTACCCAGGTTGGAGTGTAGTGACGTGATCATGGCTCACTGCAGCCTTGACCTCCTGGGCTCAAGTGATCCTCCTGCTTCATTCTCCCAAGTAGCTGGGACAACAGGCACACACTACTATGCCCAACTAATTATTTTTTTGTAAAGAAGAGGTCTCATTATGTTATCCAGGCTGGTCTCAAACTCCTGGGCTCAAACTGCCTTGACCTTCCAAAGTATTGGGATTACAGGTATGAGCCACCATGCCTGGCTTTAAACCAATTTTGAAAAGGTTAAATGAGAGGCTGTCACCATGAAAAAGGCTGGATTGAAACTTACCAGCAGGTGGGTCAAGGAGGGAAGTGGAGTGTTTTCCATGGAATCTGGCAACAACTACTGTTTGATGATTTGCTAGTGTTGGACACAAAAAAATAATGCCTTATGTAGGGTAGGCATTTACTTCTCTTATGTTAAAAAAAAAAAAAAAAAAGTCCAGCTGGGTGCGGTGGCTCACTCCTATAATCCCAGCACTCTGGGAAGCAGAGACCAGAGAATTTCCTGAGCCCAGGGGTTCAAGACCAGCATGGACAACTTGGTGAGACCTCATCTTTACAATAAATCAAAAAGTTAGCCAGGCATGGTGGTGCACACCTGTAGTTCCAGCTACTTGGATGGCTAAGGTGGAAGGATAGCCTGAGCAGGTGGAGGCTGCGGTGGCCGTGAGCATGTTACTGCACTCCAGTCTGGGATATAGAGTGAGACTTCAACTCAGAAAAAAAAAAAAACCCCTAGGCTTAGCCCCCTAGGGAGCCTGGAAGACTTTGGTTGTCTGTACTGGTATGCTATTGTAAAAGGCAGTTAGGCAGTCAGGTCCATATGTTGAGCGGGTTGCTGGGCACCTGGTCTAGAGTTTGGGGAGGGAGAGAGGGATGGATATAAGCATTTGCGAGTGAATTGCCACTGTGTAGATACTGTTCAAAGCTAAGGCCCTTGTCTCCTGTAGCTTGTCCCCCAGGACACTGGGGAGCCAAATGCGCCCAACCTTGCCAGTGTCGCCATGGTGGGACCTGCCACCCCCAGGATGGGAGCTGTGTCTGCCCCCCAGGCTGGACCGGACACCACTGCATGGAAGGTACCAGCAGAAGGGGAACTCCATGCCCCTGCCTCCAACTTGGCCCTGGCCCAGAGAGGAGACTGCAGTCTTCTGGCCCCTCTGATCCCCACCTGTCTCTTTGGCTGTCTCCCCAGGTTGCCCTCTGGGGATGTTCGGTGCCAACTGCTCCCAGCCATGCAAGTGTGGTCCTGGAGAGAAGTGCCATCCAGAGACCGGGGCCTGTGTGTGTCCCCCGGGGCACAGTGGTGCGCCCTGCAGGATGGGTGAGTTTTCAGCTCCCTCCTCCCTGCCCGTTGTCCCCAGGGAATGAGGCCCCATGCCCCTCATGCCACCCCTACCTTCCCTCTGGGCACCTGAAGCTCACCAGCAGAAGCAAGATGCCATTCTGAGTGACCACCTGATCCCAACAGGAAGCCAGGAGCCCTTCACCATGATGCCTACCTCTCCAGTGGCCTATAACTCGCTAGGTGCGGTAGTGGGCATTGCAGTGCTGGGGTCCCTCGTGGTGGCTCTGGTGGCACTGTTCATTGGCTACCGCCATTGGCAAAAAGGCAAGGAGCACCAACACCTGGCAGTGGCCTATAGCAATGGACGGCTGGACGGCTCTGAGTATGTCATGCCAGGTGAGCTGGCACGGAGCATGGGGCACAGACGAGTGGCTGGCTCATAGGTGCAAAGGTGGATGGGTGCTAGGCATGACTCCATGGGAAGACAGGGAGCGGGAGAAGGGAGGAAGGGAGGTCAGAGAGGCCAAGCGACTGACTGATCTCTTGGGACAGAACACCTCGCATGGGCCCCGGGCCTGTCTCTGCACTCACCCCGTGCCTGGGTCTGTCTTGCAGATATCCCTCCGAGCTACAGTCACTACTATTCCAACCCCAGCTACCACACCCTGTCACAGTGCTCTCCTAACCCTCCGCCCCCTAACAAGGTCGGTGCTGGGGGAGGGGCCACCCTGCAGAGGAATGGGGCACACCTGCTTCTCTGGGAAGCCCTGCTCACATGTGGCGCGGTCTCCCATCAGGTTCCAGGCAGTCAGCTCTTTGCCAGCCTGCAGGCCTCTGAGCGGCCCTGTGGTGCCCATGGGCATGACAACCACGCCACCCTGCCTGCAGACTGGAAGCTCCGCCGGGATCTGCCTCCGGGGACTCTCGACAGAGGTAGGTGCCCAGAGGCCAAGGCCGCAGGTGCGTGTGGATGGGAGTGAACTCGTGTGTCTGGAAACGGCGCTCTGGGTCCCAGTTCTAGAGGAGACAGGAACCTGGGGAGGGGCTTAGGGGCCCAATTGCCAGTTGCTTCCTCCCCAGGGAGCAGCCGTCTGGACCGAAGCTACAGCTATAGCTACAGCAACAGTAATGGCCCAGGCCCGTTCTACAGTAAAGGTAAGGGCACAGGGTCACCAAGCGGGGGGGGACTGTGCTGGCTTTGGGGTACCAGTGTCTCCACCGAGCCTGATTTCTTTTGTCCATCCTCAGGGGCCATCTCTGAAGAGGGGCTGGGGGCCAGCGTGGCTTCCCTGAGCAGCGAGAACCCCTATGCCACCATCCGGGACCTGCCCAGCCTGCCAGGGGGCCCCCGGGAGAGCAGCTATGTGGAGATGAAAGGACCCCCATCAGGATCTCCCCCCAGGCAGCCTCATCAGGTCCGGGACAGCCAAAGGCGACGGCACCCCCAGCCGCAGAGAGACAGTGGCACCTATGAGCAGCCCAGCCCCCTGATCCATGGTGAGCTTCCCTCTCCATTGGAGCAGAGGCTGGAGAGAACTAGACGGGGGAGGTAGAGTGAAGACACAGAGGGAGAGGGTGAGGAGGTGGTGTGATGTGGCCGTAGGAGAGAGGCCTTTGGGGTCAGACTTGGGCTCAAACCAGGTGTGATGTTGCGTGGTGTACCCACCTCACAGGACTGAGGTCTTGACATGGGGGCTACACAGCACCTGAATGGGGAAGAGAAGTGAGGAGCCAGGCAGGTGACAAAGTGTCTCCTATCCTGTGAGGTGGGCAGGCTGGGGTGGCTTCTCCCCCACACGGCAGCTGAGGGATTGAGAGGCTTCTGCTTAGAGCCTCACAGCCAGTGGGGTGAACCCACTTCATCCAGGCCCCCTTCCCTTCTCTTTGGGCTGAAGAGTCTAGAGAGGGGAAGAGGGTGGTGGGAGGGGAGGGGAGGGGGCAGAGCGATGCCCCCTCATCCTGTTCCCCGTTTCCAGACCGAGACTCTGTGGGCCTCCAGCCCCCACTGCCTCCAGGGCTGCCCCCCGGCCACTATGACTCACCCAAGAACAGCCACATCCCTGGACATTACGACTTGCCTCCAGTGCGGCATCCGCCGTCGCCCCCACTTCGACGCCAGGACCGTTGAGGAGCCAAGATGGTGTGGCAGACAGAGGCCAGCACATCTGCCTTGCTGTCCAAGGCTGGGGACAGAGCCTGGTGTACCCTGCCAGGAGCAGGGAGGGAACCGGCAGGCCGTGACTGTGAACACGTTGAGCGGAGGACGGGCGTGGAGAGATGGGAGTCTGGCTCCCAGGTTCCATCATGAAGACACTGGGCAGCAGGATGCTTGGTTCCCTCTCTTGGCCCACTGCTCTCTGAGGCCCCGGGGCTCCATGTACATAGACTGGTGGGTCAGATGTTGCTAGCTAACTTTGACCTCAGACTGACTTCAAAAAGGTGTATTGGGTACCTGCTCGGTGCTCGTCTGGGAAGGGCTGTGTGTGTGTGTGTGTGTGTGTGTGTGTGTGTGTGTGTGTGTGTGTGTGTATGTTCAGGGGTGCCAGGCATAGGTTCTGTCCTAGGGCAGTTTAGTTGGGAGGCAGACCCAACCTGATGAACTCCAGCAAAAGCCTCCCTGATTCACCTGGTAAACCCTCCAACCCACTGCTCAATGTCCAAGCTGGTCAGGTTACTCCCTGCCTGAAGGTCTTCATGGATGACTTTTTGCTCTTCAGCCAGCATCAAAACTTCTGAAGGCCCTAAAGATCCTGCTTGCCTTGGTTGTCTGTCTCCAGCCTCACCTCAAACTGTGTTCCTGTCACTCCACTCCAGTTGCACTGCCATGTAGCTCTCACCCACTACACTCCCTCCTGTTACAGGGCCTTTGCCCAACTGGAATGCCCTGCTTCCTCCCTTCACAGGGAGCACCCCGCCCGCACACCTCTTCATAGCACTGAGCGTAGCTGAATTCATTCACCAGGTACCTGCAAAAGGCCTGCAGGGTGCTGGGCACCTATCTAAAGTGTGACAGTCCCCTACATACAAACCTTCAAGTTATGAACTTTAGCAATAGCCTGTTAAATACATAAGATACTATGTAGCTGACTGTGTTAGTTGGGTACCTAGGCTAACTGTTGGACTTAAAACAGATTGGACTTACAAATGCACTTTCAGAATGGAACTTGTTCATATGTTGGGGACCTCTTGTACTTCTTTATGTGATTATTTGATTAATCTCCACCTCCCCCACTAGACTTAAGTCCCTAGACACAGGACTCCTGTGTTTATGCTCATTATTGCCCCCCCCACAGTAGACACTCAATAAATGCTCTCCACATGGCTGAGTAGCCAAGTGGATTAAAGTGCCAGTGACCTTGTGGTAAGTGCTAGGAGACAGTTGATAGACTGTGTAGGTCAAAGCCTCCCCCAGAGAGTGGCGATTCCACAGAGGCTCAAAGGTGGGAGGCTGCCAGGGGTGAGGGTGGGGAGGTGGTGGAGCTGAGTGGGGTGCAAAGCTGGAGGCAGGAGGGGTAGCAGGAGAGAGTGCACAGGTGTACCTTGCTTCATGATGTTTCACAGATGATGTGTCTTGGAAAGATGTGACAACTCTGAGCAGGGCTGTCAGTAGCCATTTTGTCAACAGCATGGCTCACTTTGTGTCTCTGTGTCACATGTTGGTAGTTCCCCCCATATTATGAACTTTTTCATTATTGTCATATTTGTTATTGTGATCTGTGATCAGTGATCTTTGCTATTACTGTCGTAGTTGTTTTGGGGCGCCACAAACCATGCGCATATAACACAGCAAACTTAATTGAATGTTGTGTGTGTTCTGACTGCTCCACTGGCTGGCCATTCCCCGCCCCCTAGGGGCCTCCCTGTTTCCTGAGACACAACAACATAGAAATGAGGCCAGTGAATAACTCTACAATGGCCTCTCAGTGTTCAAGTGAAAGAAAGGGTTGCACGCCTCTTACCTTAAATGAAAAGCTAGAAATAATTAAGCTTAGTGAGGAAGGCCTGGGGAAAACTGATATAGGCTAGGCCTCTTGCACCAGTTAGCCAAACTATGACTGCAAAGGAAAAGTTCTTGAAGGAAGTTAAAAGTGCTACTCAGTGAACTCACCAGTGATAAGAAAGAGGAACAGCCTTGTTGCTGATATGGGGAAAGTTTTAAGGGTCTGGATAGAAGATCAAACTGGCCACAATATTCCCCTGAAAGCCAAAGCTTAACCCAGAGCAAGGCCCTAACTTCACTTCTGTGATGGCTGAGAGGTGAGGAAGCTATAGAAGAAGAGTTCAAAACCTGCAGAGGCTCAGTCACAAGGTTTAAGGAAAGAAGCTGTCTCTATAACATAAAAGTGCAAGGTGAAGCAGCAAGTACTGATGTAGAAGCTGCAGTAAGTTCTCCAGAAGATCCAGCTGAGGTAATTGATGAAGGTGGTAGCAGTAAACAACAGATTTTCAATGTAGACAAAGAAAATGCCATCTAGGACTTTCATAGCTATAGAGGAGAAGTCAATGCCCATCTCCAGAGGCCCAAAGGAGAGGCTGGCTCTCCTGTTAGGGGCTAATACAGCTGATGACTCTAAGTTGAAGCCAGTGCTCACTAACCATTCTGAAAATCCCAGGGCCTTTAAGAATTATACAAATTAGCCGGGCTCCATGGCTCAGCTTGAGGATTGGAGAGAGTGGGGAGGGAGGGACATGGTGAAAATGCTTTTCAGGCTTCTGGGCGGCTGGAGATGTCATTCTTGGAGACGGGGAGGCTTGAAGGAGGAGCAGGTCAGGAGGACCTCCAAAGGTGAGGCCAGCTGGGAGGCCAGACACATGGGTCTGGAGTGAGGAGAGAGGTTAGGGGTGGAGGTGTGACTTGGAGGCTGCTGATGTTCTGGCATAATCCCACTCTGGGAATAAAAGCCATGTAGGGAGGGAGTGCGATGGAGGGGGCTCAGGACCAGGCCGCAGGTGGGTCACGGGGTGGGGAGGGTGTAATCCTGCGCCTTTGGGATGCTGAGGTGAGTGGATTGCCTGAGCCCGTGGGTTCGAGACCGCCTGGGCAACTTGGTGAGACCTCATCTCTACCATAAATCAAAAAATCAGCCGGGCATGGTAGCGCATGCCTGTAATTCCGGCTACTCAGAAGGCTGAGGTGGAAAGATCGCCGGAGCCAAGCAGGTTGAGGCTGCAGTGGCTGGGAGCAGCCACTGTACTCCAGTCTGGGCAACAGAGTGAGGAAAAAAAAAAGAATTATACAAATTCTACTCTGTGCTCTAGAAATGGAGCAACAAACTGGATGACAGCATATCTTTTAACAGCATGGTTTACTGAACATTTTAAACCCACTGTTGAGACCTATTGCTCAGGAAAACAAAAAAGTTCCTTTCTAAACATTATTGCTCATTGTCAATGTACCTGGTCACCCAAGAGCTCTGACAGAGATGTACAAGGAAATTCAATGCTTTCATGTCTGCTAACACAATATCCAGTCTGCTGGCCATGGATCAAAGAGCAATTTTGGTTTTTAAGTCTTATTTAAGAAATACATTTTAGGCCGGGCTTGGTGGCTCAGCCTGTAATCCCAGCACTTCGGGAGGCCAAGGTGAGTGAATTGCCTGAGCCTGTGGGTTCAAGACCTGCCTGGGCAACTTGGCGAGACCTCATTTCTACAATAATAATTTAAAAAATAGCTGAGTGTGGAGGCATGCATCTGTGGTTCCGGCTACTTGGAAGGCTAAGGCGGAAGGATTGCCAGAGCCCAGCAGGTCGACACTGGGGTGGCCGTGAGTGTGCATGCCACTGCACTCCAGCTTGGGCAAAAGAGTGAAACTCCAACTAAAAGAAAAAAAAATTTTATAAGGCTATGGCTGCTGTAGATAGTGATTATCTTATGGATATGGCAAAGTAAATTGAAAATCTGAAAAGGATTCACCATTCTAGATGCCATTAAGGGCATTCATGATTCATGGGAGGAGGTCAGAATATCCACATTACCAGGAGTTTGGAAGAAACTGATTCCAACCCTCATGGGTGACTTTGAGGGGTTCAAGGCTTCAGTGGAGGAAGTAACAGCAGATGTGGTAAAATTGCAAGAGAATTAGAAGTGCGTCCTGAAGATGTAACTGAATGGGCACAGTCTTGACCGGATGAGGAGCTGCTTCTTATGGGTGAGCAAAAAATGTGGTTTCTTGAGATGGAATCTACTCCTTGTGAAGTGGACATTGTTGAAATGACAACAAAGGATTTAGAATATACAATTAAATGATTTGAAAAAGCAACAGTAGGGTTTGAGATGATTGACTCTAATTTTGAAAGAAGTTCTCCTATAGGCAAAATGCTACAGAGAAATAGTTCATGAAAGGAAGAGTCCATTGATACAACAAACCTCATTGTTATCTTATTTTAAAAAACTGCTTACAGCCATCCCAGCCTTCAGCAACCACCTCCCTGATCAGTCAGCAGCCATCAACATGGAAGCAAGACACTCCACCAGCAAAAAGATGACTGCTTGTTAAATGCTTAGTTGATTATTAGCATTTTAGCAATACATTATTTTAAAATTAATGTATGTGGCTTTGTTTTTAGACAATGCTATTATTGCACACTTAATGGACTATAGTATAGTATAAACATAACTTTGATATGCACTGAGAAACCAAAAAAACTTGTGTGACTCGCTCTATTGTGATATTAGCTTTACTGCAGTGGTCTGGAATCGCACCAGCAAAATGTCTGGGAGGTATGCTTTACTCAAGGGGCCCAGCAGGGCAAAACCGCAATTCTAGAGCAGCAGTCAGATGAGGACTTTGAACCCCAGATTTGTAAAGACTGACTCATCTCATCAACTCATTAGCGATTATCCCAGTCCCCGGAGACTTCCAGGAGGCTACATACGTGGGGTCGAGAACAGGAGCCTAGCATCCCGACTGGGTGGGTTTCTCTAGGTCCCTGCCATCAGGCGCTCTCTCCTCAGAGGAACAGCGGGTGGACCCTGGGACTGGACCTGCCCCGACATGTACGCTCTCTTCCTAGCGTCCTCTGCAGTGATGCCTACCACCCCCAGCCCGCCCTGCTCTCCCAGGTTCAATTCCCCGGGGAGACTTTGGATCGCTCTGCGCTCGTCCTATCCCCGCCCTCTCCTCTCTCATCCTGCCACTCATCTCCCGTCAGGTCCTGGGCCGCTCTAGCCCCTCTCCTCCTTAGCACAGGTTAGGCCTGGTCT